TTTTTAGTATATTTGTTGTTTTATCTGGGGCGTGTTTTAAAAATTGTTAAAAAATTGTTTGTGTAATGGCAAGCGTGCGTTGACAACGAACGTTGCTGTCTAATGGGCCCTTTATACTCGCATGTACAAAAAGAGAGCAGCAGAGCAGCAGAGCAGCAACTCTTTACGTCATATGCAATCATGTTCCATGTTTAAACATGAGCAAAGAAGTGTTGTGTTTCTGATGTGAGTGTGAGTATGTGTGAGTATTGAAAATTTTTTTTAATTTATGTGCACGTTTACGGTATTTTGAGAAGCTTCAGCTACTTTGCCACTTAACATATTTTTTTTGTTGTTGTTGCGAAATGCTTCTTAGCTTTAAAGTGAATTATTAAGTACGCAGGCAGTTTTAACAGAACACACCTATTAAGCGCGGTGCAGACTATCATACTGGTATGTCATACGAGTTGCGCTCTCTCTTGCTCAAATTTCTTCTAGCGACCGAATTTGAACAGGTATGACACACAAGAGTAGCCAAAATTTTTGAAGAGTGCTTTAGCGGGTAGTGCTGTGAAAATTTGTGTGTTTAAAATAAAATTTTAAAATTGAAAAAATTGATAGTTAACGTATAGGTTGTGCTTTGCTTATAATTGATTATAATTTTGTATATTTTATATATGCCGCGTTTTTTTTTGCGATCTTTATATTCACAGCTTTGGACATCCCACAAACAGCGATTACTTTTATTAACATTCGATGAAAGCATCTAAAAATGCTTTATCTGCATCCATATTCATATTTTTTTTAGGTTTATTGGTCATTAAGCACAGTAGTTAAAATGAAAAGATCAGTAAAGGACCGTAGTTAATTTCATTCACTACCTGTAAAGTTTCTTAAGAAATTTTTCATAAATAGATCATACAAATAATGTATATATATATATATATACATAAGAATGTATATATCTTCATTGTTTTTCAAGAAATTTGATCATTTCCATATTTTTGTTAGTTAAAGGTTATTAACATTTAAAATTCTTTTATTTTAATAACAAGTTTTAACAAAGAAAAGCATATTTAGAATACAAAGTATTATATCTTAAATTTAGGTTATTAATTAATTGTTATTACGACCAATTTTCAATATGTTTTTTTATTACTGGGCTTAGATCATAAATTTAACGATGTTTATATATAGATGTTTTTTTAAAAAAAATTTTACTTATAATCATCGTTTATAAATTAAAATAAAAGAAAATAAAATATTTAATAAATTAAACAAAATATTTAATATATTACATAAAATATTTAATTGTATTTTAATTTTTTATAAGAATTTTATGTAAAAATTTATATTTTTTTTAACTAAGATACAATTAAATATTTAACACAAATTTATAAGTGTAATTTTAATAATAATAATAAATACATTAATAATAAAATAATATAAAACATATTAAATTTATATTATAATTCTACATATTCCACCTGCTTACAATAAATTTGCAAGGCAAAAATGCTCTTGTATGACGTATGAATCGTTAGGGGTGACAGACTATCATACACAACGCGCATGCGAGAGCTGCTCACCAAAATTTTGGTGAGCACGCCAACACGTTGGTAAAGGTGGCAGACTATCATACCTGTGGTGTCATACGACGTTTTTCTCTCTCGTATGACATACCAGTATGATAGTCTGCACCCCACTTTAGGAGAGACTAAACCGCCATCAACATCAACTGCTTTATCAAATAAAAAATAAAAATCTGTGAAGCATCATAAACAATTTTAAGTATTTCTTATATTGTTATTTCATTTTAATTTGCTTTTTGATTTCGTTTTCTTAAATTTGTTGTTGTTGGCATGTAAACAAAATAGCAAAGCACCGCAATATAAACAAACAAACAAACGAAGCAGCAAGCAAACAAACACATACCAATGCCGTCTAGTTAGCGAGTATATATGTGCGTGTTTGTGTACTTGTACAACAAAGCATACCCGACATTTTGTTGTGCAGGTGTGTTTTTTTCAATAATGCTTTTTATGCTTTTTCCTAATTTCTTTGGCGCGGTGTAAGGCGAGGCAACAATTTGTCAGTTCTTGTCAGTCAAATGTCTGGAACTTAATTATTATTTTGTGTTTTTTCTCAAAATTCTCATATTGAGTTCAAAGCACACTGAAAGCCAAACAGGCTGGAAAACGCGTGGAAAATTTCAATTTAAATTTCAAATAAGCAGAAAATATTTAGAAATATTTAAAAAATGTTTCAAGATTTTCAGATTGGGTTAGGCTATATTTTTTTAACAGCTTGCTAAGCATAGAGTATATTAACGCAAAAGCAATGTGAGTTATATGTATAAATTTTTATAGTAAAATGCGGAATTTTTTACTGAAAAATTGAAATATTACAGAAATCTCACGATTTAGTCACGATTTAAAATAGGAGGATTCACATCAACAGCTTGGGGGCATGAGAGACATGGTCACGTCAAATTCAAAATTATTGTTGTTTTCTATATAAATTATAAAATTAAAGATGAGAGAGAGATTCAAAATTTTTGTTGCTTTCAATGTAAATTATAAAATTTAGAATGAGAGAAATAGAGAAATTTTGATTCAAATTTGATCACTGGGACCTCAAAACAGTGTTGCTTAGTAATAAATGTCAGAATTCACGTTATTTAGAAGTTACTATGTATGTTTTTGTATGAATTTGTGAATATATTTGAACAGAAATAAATATCACGAAAACATTATCGATAATAAACCAAAACACAAACAGTCAAGGCTGATATCAGTATTTTCTGGCTTGTGGTTTATTGGAGAGCAGTGATTGGAGAGCAGTTAATTTATGTAAATCGTACTTTAATCATCTTCAAAAATGAACTTCAAAAGTGGTTAAAATGCAAGGACTGGATGTGGCTGTAACAAACACATGTAACAAAACAAACAATTGATTACATGGATATGACGACAAAACGGTGCGAAACTCATGAATTGGGTTACGATTTTAACTGATGAATAGACAATATTTGCACAATTAATATAAAGTGTTTCCACTACATCATTAGGTGTTTCCACTGCCTTAATAAGTGTTTACATTACAATAATTTAATAACCAAATAGTGAATATCTTAAGAGATTAGGAAGGTAGGAGTTATTAATTAAATTTAATGAAAATACTTAACAAAATGGAATATTAAATATTCCATAATATAGAATATAAAATTAAACCAAGCTTCGGAAAACATATTTTTCATTGTTTTAGCTAATATTTTTAAAAATTTATTACTCATTTTGGTTTTTAATTTGTTGTTTTCACTGTCACATTTTCTATTTGTTTTTAAAAACGTTGGCACACATGGCCTCCACAATGAAATATTCGATATAGCGTTCTCATAATTGAAGTTAAACATAATTGAAGATAATTGTACTATTTTAATTCAATTATTTCAAACATAAAAATGCAACTAATTGCAACACAACTCGTAAGTTAATTGAGAAAATAAGTCTATTGAGGCAATGCAGGTGTGTTATAATACAGTTATTCTAACAATTTTCTAACATTTGTATGTATTTTATTTATGATGAGAATTATAAAATTCTAATACAAACTTCTATTATATATTTGTGATTACTTCATTATTTCAGATAAATTTCTATCCTTAAATCAAGCGTTTATGATTTGGGAAGTTATAATATTCATTGAGAAGAAGATTGATAGAATATATATCCTGAAGGTTATCCGGAAGGAGAGTTTACCTTAAGAACAAATCGTTTTTGAATTTTTTATCAAGGTGGCTTAAATTTTATAAAAAAGTATAAAATTTTGATTTTTAATGATTTTGACTGAACTCTATTATTTCTGAAAATTGAATGACTAAAAATTGACATTGATCAAACTACTGATTTTGTCGAACTATTAGACAAATAGAATTATAACTGAAGTGGCATCTGGCGACCAAAATTGGATTTTCAGTACACAATTAATCCTACATATTTTTAAACAATCGATTTTCGTTACCTTGGACTTGACTCGCTTGAAAGAAATTGTTTGCTACCTTTGAAGCAACTCGCAAAACCCCGAATAAGGGACAAATTTGTAGCTTAATACCATATATTTAATTTCAAAGTGCATATACCCTTTCCATAAACTCGTTGTCTGTTAATATATGCAAATTTTACCTTCGAAATGTGTTATTAAGCCATGACTTATTTGGAAATCGTCAAAAATTATTCAAAAAATTACTTTCATCACTTTATGTTTGTAATGATTTCATTTCCTACATATATACTGAGTGTAAATTTCACAGTACACTTGAATATGCAGTTCTTAATCGTATGTAATTATATCGAATAAATCATATAATTAAGAAGAACTCTCCTTAGCTTCCACTTGAGTCAATTAAGTCAAGCAAATGTTGTTACTTAACTCATTATGTATGGCTTTACATAAAATTAAATGCTATTACAATTACAATGTTGATTACAACGCCTTTTACCGAGTAAAGCGTCTGTGCGTTAATTAAATTCTTCACCATTTACTCTACTAATGATGTATGCTGCATAATGACAAAATGCATAATTGAAAACGATTAGCAAATTGCATTTGCCAAAATATGCATCATAAAAATTAAATTATTAAGCAAACTACACACCCATCGAATTCGGCGCGGTCAGCCTGGCGTATACGCAATCTGCGGGCAAATGTGTGCAAAATTAAAAATTGTGTTTTTCATTAAATGTCGATTTTAACAATTTTCCAATTTTCACACATCAAAACTCAAAATTGATCAATTTTCATTTTAATTTTTATTTTTGTGTCTCCAACTCTTTACGAACTTGAACTGTTGTTTGATACCCTTTACCTGGCAAATAGCCCAACCCGGCAACCAACCGACGTGAATCTACCTACAGAAATCCAATGTGAATGTAACAAATTAAATCATAAATTGAATTGAAATTTTGTAGTTTAGATTTTGAATTTTCGGTTTGATGATGTATCTGTGCTTTTCTTTGCAGTTTGATTACGATGCTGAAGGCACATTGCAGTATGCGATGTGTCAATTTATGCAGAACGAATTCGTCTCGCATTCCGCGTACCAAATAATATTCCTATCCAGTTCGTATCTGCTGCCATTGATGATAATTAGCGGCCTGTATGTTCGTATGATAATGCGATTGTGGCGACAGGGTGGCGTCCGTATGTCTGTGGAATCACAACGCGGTCGCAAACGCGTAACGAGACTTGTGGTGGTTGTGGTCATAGCATTCGCATCATTATGGCTCCCGGTGCAGGTGCGTATGAAAAATTATGCTCAGATACGGGTATATAATTTTTGATTTTTCCACATATAAATGAGTAGCTTATTTTCGCGAAATTTAAGTATACAGGATTGGTTTTTTTTTAAATTGTAAATTTCATATCGAAAAATGTTCATTTTTGTGTAATTAAGATATTGTAATTTCATATATAATTTCATCGTTTAGCTCATATTAATGTTGAAGGCATTCAAAATTTATCAAACCAACACCAAAACGAAGGTGATACTACAAATTGTGGCACAAACACTGGCCTATACGAGCTCCTGCATTAACCCTGTACTCTATGCATTCCTATCGGAAAATTTCCGCAAAGCTTTTCGCAAGGTAAGTACAGTTAGAAGTAGCGGAAAAGTAATAATTTTATTGGTTTTCTTTTATTACTTGAATTAAAATGAACAGAATAAAGAGTAATTTAATCTGGCTAGTCATATCTGAGTAATGGCTGCTCATATTTTAGTGAGGTATATAGATAATAACTAATAAGGCAAATCTATATACATATATATATATTATTTATATAAACAATATGATGTAAAATAACGAAGACATATTTATGGGATCTTATAGTTCCCGAAATATGAATATTACTAATTAGTTTAAGAAGACTAGGTGCAATTTCAATAAAATAAAATAAACAAACAAAATGTTCGTGAGAGGCATATATACTTCGAGACTTTACAATCGATTTCATGAAATTTTTATAGCAAATTATTTTGTAAAAATAAAAATGTTACGCTATATATGGTCCTGGTAAAGTCCAGTTTGGGGCATCTTTGGGAGTTAACCCAAAGATGAAAGGAAAATATTTTATTCAAAATTACAAAAAAAAAAAAATCAAATAATTATAATTTTAAACAATGAAAGTTTAAATATTGCAACTAAATATATATATATAAATAAATATATAAATAAATGCAACTAAAAATAAAATTGATGAATAGCGTAACAAACGTTTAATTATTAAGAGAATTACGCTAACAACATGTAGTATAGTTGAAACACCCGAACAACGTAATGCGGACTTTCAGGCAATTTATGTCTGTTGTAATAAATTTAGTAAATTAAAAACAAATTAGGATTTAATGGTATATTTTAAGTGTAGTGAACAAAAACAACAAAAACAATGCTACTTAATACTAAAACAAAAGAGAAGCGCATTCAAATTCTGTTGATTTATAGAAATAAATGTTTATGGACTAAATATATGCAATATCAATATTTTACCTTTAATATAGTTGCATTTATTGAAATTTTTAAAATATTTTTGCCTTAATTACATACTTTGTTTACACGTGCAGATATCAATAAGCAGATTTTAAGTGGCTTTATTATATTAAAAATTAAATTTCACCCAAACTGTGAATTGATCTCTGAAAATAGTATCTAGCACAAATGCTTTGTATTTCGAACTTATTTTGAAAGTCCATAAAATATCGATTTTGTACCGGTCTGCCACTCGAGGTCTTTCGTTGTAAACAGAAATGATTTACTCGCCGAATTTACAACTTCAACATTTAACATTTTTGCAATTTTTTGAAGGCAATTCAGCTGCTTTTCGTTATAAAATATTTATTATTAAATTCGTTTATATTTGCAACCCAACCTATAAACAAAACACGTCTTTTCTTTTAAATAAGTAATTATGCAGTAAATATAAAATGGATTTTGCTAATTTTTATATTAAAAATTTTACGCATTCAAAATCGGAGAAAATTTATGTGTACAGTGATCTATAAATTATATTGACTATACACATTATATCAAATTGTTGAAAGGGTCGCTTCAACGACGAATAGTTCAAGCAATCAGATCTTAGATCACTCATTGAATAATCAAGAAGCTTATGAGGAATACACAAATTAGTCAGTGAGATGGAAAGGACTCTACAAAAACCCCTCAGTTTTCAAAGAGTAAAAATACCTAGATGCACTAACTCGGAAAAGGCTCAACATAAGATGTTTTAATACAAATAATTAAATATATATTTAATTAAAAATTTGATCTCATTATCGAAAGAACTCCTCCTGACCATTTTTTTAACTGAAGTGGCTATCTTATGATTAACTGAATCAAATTTTGTAGAACAATGAATATTGTAGTTGAAATAATTTTATATATAATATAAATAATAAATTTTACAAGCAATGAATATGTAATTAATTTAGTATCAGTCATTTTTCTTTCTAGCTGGACTATACTCAGTCAAAAATCAATGATTATTATATATGTAAAAATGACATACCCCGTAGATATATCAGTCTTTTGATAGGTTTACTTTCGATAGGTTTACATTCTGGAAGATTAGGTTTCCCTTTCAATCAAATCTAGGAAAACGATGAGAGTGCCTCGCATCTACTATGTTTTTGCTCATGCACGATGGTAATTCAATACTTTAGAAGCCTCCTTTCTTAAGGATCTAGACCAATTACAGGACCTGACATTAAATAGCATTTTAGGCTTCGCCAAAGGTTCTAGATAATTTTAAACCTCGAGTTTTTTCTATATATACGGTAACACAATGGGCCAAAGGGCTTAAGTCTATTCACTTAGGGTCGCCGGTATAAAATTTTTCAATAATTGTCATTATTGAAAACAAAAATGTTCCTCAATACCTCTTCAAACAATATATATAGTATTTGTTTTCTCTTATGTTCGACGTCTACAATCTGATTCAGAAATGCTAAACTTCCTTTTGTAGCACTAAAGTCCTGTCTGTTTAAGTTTTGATCACACTCACTACTATGCTAACTGCTAGAGTTAAAAATACCAGAAACTATAATTAAACAGTGAATCTTTTCTCACCTGTAACATCAGATCCATTCAGATCTTTTCAAGTTACATTACTTGTTCGTATCTTGTAATTTCACGTTTTGGTGAACCTCATGATTTGGTGATTAATCAGCAGATGAGTTTTCTTTTCTTTTTTTGTAAGTTTATGCAAAAAATAATGTTTAAATAGACCATCCTTACTTTTTCGATGCTTTGAAAATAAAAATCTGTCAAGTTATAGCTGAACTATTCTCAGTTATGTACTCGTATTGCCAGAGTCATCTCAAACTACTTCAAAATAATTCAGTACTTCTAGATATCTCATCGACGTATAAGGTATACCGTTTTGGTAAATAATCAACTTTCAATCTCGAAATGTTTGTTTAAGCACTCCATTTGATTATTTCGAAAATAAAAGCCAGATCCATCCAAATGGATGAGCCAACAAATAGACAAAGCTATTATAGATTGATTCGATTCACCAAAGCGATATCTTTGATGTTTTTTTTTTCACTTCGCTATGAAAATCTTGACAAATTTTATACTTTTCACACGCTACATAATGCATAAGTTCGTTCCTAGTATCTCAACATATACTCGTATCTAGAAAATATACGAATATTGAAAAAACATCAATGTTTTATTTATTCAAACACTATTTGATGTTATAATAAACTGAGCGGATCTTCTATTTACCACTAAAACTGAACCAGCGAATTTATATTCCCAAGTTTATGAATTCATTGGCGATTTGCAGCAGATGTTTAAGTCGTAAAGGAATTAATTTTTTTAATGCTTTTTTCGACATATGAAATTGTTAGCATTTTATTCGAACGACTTAAGTGCGAAAAACATGTTTCCACGAACGAGGCACTTCTATGGGACTGGTAGATCAGAGACGACGCAGTGGGTGATCGCGCGTTTTCACATGAAAAAGTAGTAAAAATTTATTTATGCAAAAATATAATAAAATTTAGAGAGCTTAAAATTTCTTTCAAAAAAAAAATATATCTACAATAATTAAAAAATTTAAAAAAAAATTCCTATAATGAATTTGTTTATTTTATTTATATTTTTTTATTTACGCTGTCCGAATTAATAACACAATTATGATCAACTGATTGAAAAATTTTCGATATTATTAGAAAATTCATTTTCTTTTTGGCAACACTAAGCACAATAAAAATGAAAATCAATTTTGTAATGGAAAAATTTAAATAAAATAATCCTATTAGAAAGCAATAAATTATCATCTTCAGAAATAATGAAAATTTGAACTTAACTTAATTGAAGTTATGTGAGATAGATGGAAAAAGAATTGCTTTAAAATTATTTATAATTTATGTAATATTGATATATGATATTTCACTAACCTTTAGTCTCACAATAAAAAATCTTTTTTCAAAGAACTTCTATATTTTTTCCAAGTTCTATCTCGAAAATTGGAACTTGTATTATATTATATTATTATATGTATTTGTCTTGAGAAAATACTTAAAACCTTTAAAACCGTTATTATTATTAAATAATAGGCATCCCGACCTAAAAGATCCATTATGGGCCTAAAGGCCCAACTAAGAGAATTCTGGACTATTTATAAATCTTGTAATTGCTGTGAGCTTAATTTTACCTACTTGATTTGGGATTTAGATTGCGCATCCAAGGACATGTTCTGATGTTTCCATCTCCTCATGACAAAGTCGACAGGAGTGACTCTCTAACACACCTATAATTTTCATGTGGTAATTAAGTCTACAGTGTCCTATAATTAGTTCAGTGTAGATTTTAATATCGTTTCTGTTAAGGCCAAGGATAGCATCAACTTAGATTTATTATACATATACGTATATAGAATTACCTATTTTGTGCTTTTGAAAGAGAACGTTATTGCAACACGATATTAAGATTAAAATTTTAATTAAACTCTTATTACACTCTTTTTGAAGCAATTTTCAACGACCTCTTGACCACATGATAATAGATTAGTGATACCCTGACAGATGTTTCCCTTTAATCCATTGAAATCTTTTGATCTTTTCTTTTGAAATCTTTTGTAACTTCTCCAAAAAATTTCCAGTAGTGACAAATCATGTTAACTTTGTAGCTAATTCATATCCACGTAAAGTAAACGAGACGTCCAGGAAGTTGTTATGTAATAAAGCCAATATAGGAAGTGTTATGCAGCTTATGTCGCCTCCTATTGAAACCACATATGTTTCAGATCCTTTCTTGAATTGAACTCAGTGCGATAGTGTTAAAGCTATAGCCATATTAGTTGATGATTTTTCTCACTCATTCGTCTTTTTCAAAGAGTAAGGCACATGTTTGTCTCCAGAACAAACAGTTACAAGTTGAAGAGGTATTGATTTTTTCATCCCAGATATGAGAATATGCCTATATTTTCTATATAAACTAAAGAATATGTGACATTAAGTATTTCAAATCTGAAAAGATAGACGAACTAACTTTTCAACTTCAATGTTACACTAAATATAACTAAAATATAAACACTGATATGAAAATAATACAGTTATAGAACTTATTTAACTAACTGT